CCCAGAATTGCACGCAGTACTCTAACTGTGGTCTGACCAGCGCCCGATAGAGGGGAAGTATCACCTCCTTGGACCTATTCGTCATGCATCTGCTGATGCACGATAAAGTGCCATTGGCTTTTCTGATGGCTTCGTTACACTGCCGACTCATGTTCATCTTGGAGTCCACTAGGACTTCAAGATCCCTTTCCACTTCTGTGCCACCCAGCAGATCATTCCCTAGGCTGTAGGTGTGCTGGACATTTTTCCTCCCTAGGTGCAGCACTTTGCATTTCTCCTTGTTGAACTGCATTCTGTTGTTTTCTGCCCACTTGTCCAACCTGTCCAGATCTGCTTGCAGCTGTTCCCTGCCCTCCGGCGTGTCCACATCTCCCCATAGCTTTGTGTCATCTGCAAACTTGGACAGAGTACATGTCACTCCCTCGTCCAAGTCACTGATGAAGACATTAAAGAGTATCGGTCCAAGGACCGAACCCTGTGGGACTCCACTTCCCACACCCTTCCAGGTCGAAACCGACCCATCCACCATGACTCTCTGGGTGCGGCCCTCCAGCCAATTCGCCACCCACCGGACTGTGTAGTCATCCAAGTCACAGCCTCTTAACTTGTTCACCAGTATGGGGTGGGATACCGTATCGAAGGCCTTCCTGAAGTCTAAGTATACGACATCCACCCCTCCTCCTGTGTCCAGACGTTGCCAAGCAAAATGTGTGCCAAGCAAAATGCCTTTGTGCACCACACTCTGCCACGTGTGCCAGGGATTGTCTGCCCTTGTTCTAGAACATGATCCTCTTGCTGGGCCACCCTTCTGGATCCATCCTTCTGGATCATGGCTCTAGAACCTCCATGCCTTTTTCTTTTGCCATTCTAGATTGGTGGTGCTCAACCTCTGGCCCACAGGCCACATCCAGCCGGCAGTGCTGTGTTACCTGGCCCCATAGATCCAGAAATTTGGCGGTGGGGGAGTGGTGGCACCACTCCCTTGCTGCCAAATCTCTGAACCCGCGGGAAGCCCTGATCCCAGCTAACAGGGATGGGTGAGGGTGATGCCAGGTCCCAGGGCCCAATCCCGGTGTGGAGGTAGGAGGAAGTGGTGCTAGGCCCCCAGGACCCAACTCTGGTGCATGATGGGCAGAAGGGGGTGGTACCAAGTACCCAGGGCCCAATCCAGCCTGCAGATGGGCCTCGCACCTCTTATCTGTCCTGTGGGGCCAAAAGGTTGAGCACTAGACTGTCTGCATGACTGTTCTTTCCTAAGTGACAGTCTGCCACAAGGTGGTCCCTGCAGTGGGCCACCCTGAATGCTGCTGGGCTCTCTTCCCACAGGGAAACCATTGGTGTTTGCTTTTCTAGACAGCAGCTCTGTAACGAGGCCTTTCTTCATGGGCAGCCTGTTGTACCATCGCTCTAGACTGGTGGTGCCCAGTGTTTTTGCCCTCTGGGCCAGATGGGGAGCGCCAGGTCTATCCACGGGCCAGATCTGGCTGGCGCACACACTTCAGCACATGGGGCCGATGTGGCAAGGGCCTGATCTGGCTGGGGTTTTGGGGTGCATAGCCTGACCCCAATACGTCCACTTGGGGGATGGGCAGCGAGTGGCCTAGTCCCAGTCTGGATCTGTGGGGCAGGAGGGGATGAGGAGCAGCCCAGCCCCAATCCAGATGTGTGGGTGGCAGGCCTGGCCCTGCTCCCACTGTACAGCACTGGCTCAGGCAGGACTGGATCTGGCCACGTGGAGCTTCCACTGGTCCCCCATTGCCATGGGGATCCCCGCGAGCCAGATGCCAGGGCTCCATGGGACAGATTTGGTCCTCAGGTTGTTGTACTCCCTTAGGCTAGATCACGGGGCCCTTCTCTTCTCTATCCAGAACACCCTTTAAGTGGGCCAGGGTTATTTCTCTAGAATCTCTTAAGGCAAGGTTTGTCCCATCCTCCCATTCTGGAGCATGCTGTGGACTGAAGCAGGCCTGCCTGGTTCTTGTTCTACATCAGTGGTGCTTGTGCTCTTGGCCTCGCAGCCCTGATGAATGACATGGGGCTGGATCAGACCCTGCCTGCCGGGATCAGGATTCCCACGGCCACAGCTGGCCTCTGTGTGCCGGGACTGTGCCCCAGGGCACCACACCTCTTTTACCTGGCCCCCATGTACCAGGGTGGGTACTGAGGTACCAATCTAGCACACCGGGCCACAGCCCATGGGGCTCCTCACATGGCACCAGGGGCTGGATCTGGCTTTCAGACTGGAAGTTGAGCACCCCTGTTCTAGGTCACTTGTGGGGGTGACCATCTAGGTAGCTTGTGAGGGTAACCCCACCTTTTCTGAGAGGGAGGGCAGGTGGTGCTGAGGCCAGGCCCTGGAACTGGGAAGGTGGATCAGGAGCTGGCTGAGGGAGATGACAGAGGGTGGTGCTGAACTGAAGGGGCAGTTGGGTAGAAAGGAGAGCCGATACCTTATGGGGATCCTCAAGGACCAACCTGGAGACACATCTTAATGCAGTCATCAATGAATGTGGTGCCAAGCATGGGAGAGGCGAGGATTCCAAGCTGGGAGGCATTTTCAGCTCTAGGAGGATCAGAATATCTGACAGGGGATGTTCAGCAGCACTGAGAGGAGCCAGGCTGGATTGGCCTAGCGAGATATAAGCAGAGAGGAGCTCTGAGGCCAGCTAGAAACATCCCAGGGGACTCCTGGACAACCCAGAACAAACTGTGGTGAGCTTGGCTAGGGGAATGGGAAGGTGAAGAATGGGAAGGTGGTGTCAACCTGTTGAGTAAAGGAGAGTCTAGCCTGGTCTCTCCGTGAGGCCAGGAACTGAACTGGATAGATCTTGATCTGTTCATGAGTTGGTTTGGTGCCATAGAGAGCTCTCTGCTCTGTGCTGCTCCCAAGCTGGCTCTAGTTCTGGAGGGCAGTGTCCTGTTCTGGCAGTTTTGGACCAGTTCTGGGTGGGAGGGAAATCCAGAAGAGACACCTGAATCCCAGGACTTGCACTCTGGGTCTGTGACGATGGGGCTGAAGGACAGACCTTGGTGAGAACTTTCTCCTGCCTTGATGGGGACAGCAGATGGCTGCTAAGTGACTAGAAAAGAGCTCTAGAATGGTTTGGAGAGGGATCAGTGTTGGGTAAACTGGTCACACTGGCGGAGGGTGGTGGTGGTTGTTTACAGTGAAGGTAGGAGATGGTCATTGCTCTAAAGGACTCTGGGGAAATGCTAAGGGAACTCTAGAAGGGCACAAGGAGGGGGCTCTAGAGCTGGGTGCTGGAGGTGGGGTGGTGAGGGGAAAAACTCTAGAACTGATGTGCTGGATGCAAGGGGAGCACCTAGGGAGCTCTAGAATTGGAGGGCAGGGTATGAGGGTGTTGGGAGAGGGAGTCTAGAATAGGGGCACTGACCTGGGGTCTAGAAGCAGAGCTCTAGAACTGGAATGCTGAAGGTGAGGTGATCACAAGGGAGTTCCAAAATGGGGTGCTGGCCACAGGGGGAGCCAGAAGGGAGCTCTGGAATCAGGGGTAGGGGAGTAGGGGGAGCTCTAGAATGGGGTGTGGCGAGGACTCTAGAGGGGGGTCTAGAAGGGAGGTAGTGGTTGAGAAGGAATCTAGAGGATGGCTCTAAAATGGTAGTGCCAGATGTGTGTGGGGGGCGAGGGGGAGGGGGGACTGGGGTGTCCCTCACACCATCTGCAGGCCAGATCTGGCCCAGGGAGGTGGGGTGTCTGGCCTGCGGGGATTCTCTTAGGCTGGATGATCTGCCTCCAGTTGTGGACATGGGGCTTCTGACCATGGGAGGCATGTGAAGGGGTAGCTCTTACCAACTGCTGAATTTCTGGGTTTTGGTCAGTGTTAGGGGCACAGATCAGCAGGGAACAGGCGGGGGTGGCGTGAGCCCCCCATGCTGGCCACACCAATACAGTGCCTCTGGCAGTTGTGGTAAGAAGCCTCACAGGCCAGATCCAGCCTGCCTGCTCATCTGAGTTTGACACCCTGGTCTAGGCCAACCCTTTTGGTAGGAGTGCCATGCATTAGCCCCACACCTTCCCCGAGTGCCACTCCAATCCCCTTCCCCTGCCTGGTATGCTGCTGTGCTTTCTACTCCCTGTCTGGAATGCTTCTCTGCTTTCTGCTCCCTGCCCCGTTCTCCCTGCCCACACTGTTGCCCTGCTTTATACTCCCTACCCTGTGCTTCCTGTCCAGTTAGCTTCTCTGTGTTCTGCTCCAAGCCCCTTGCTTCCTGCCCAAACTGCTTCTCCGTTTTCTGCTCCCTGCCCTATATTCTCTGCTTGATATGGTGCTCTGCTCTCTGCCTTGTCCTCCCTGCCTGGTCTGCTACTCTGCTTTCTGCTCCCTGCCCTGTGCTTTCTGTCCAATCTGCTACTGTACTGTCTGCTGCCTGCCACAGTGCTGCGTACCCCCTCCCCAGGCTTCCGTGTACCACACACACAGGCTGCCTTTGCCCCTTGTGGCATGAATGCCACAGGTTGGCCACCCTTGGTCTGGATGATAGCTCTATGGTAGGGGCACTGGTGCAGGGGGCTCTAGAATGGGGATGTTGAGGCACAATGGTCTAGCAGGAGATTTGGCACTTAGCGGGTGCAGTATGTGATCGGGAGGTGGGGGGAGGGAGCAGGGCCCAGCATAGGGCATGGGCTCAGGGGAACTGAAGCAGAGATCTAGGGCAAGGCACTGGGCTCTGGATGGAGTGTGTGGCCCATGAGGTTACTGGAGACAGGAAGGGGATGTCAGGGTAAAAGGCTCCTATTCCAGGATCAGGGGCTGGGAAGAGGGTCCAGAATAGGGGCAGAAGGTGTATTGAGGCAGGGGGTGCTAGGAACAGGTGGTCTCTGCCTGTATGCTGGGAGGTTGTGGGTTGGTGTCTGTGTGTGTCCTGCGTCAGAGTTGGGTTGGGGTGTATCCATGTATGTGTGTGTGTGACCATGTGTCTTTGTGCATGAGGGGTGGAGATGGGTATGTGTGTGTGTGTGTGTGTGTGTGTGTGTGTGTGTGTTGTGGGGAAAGAAGGTGTCCATGTGTGAAACCTGAAGTATGCTAGTGGTGAGTGTGGTGTATGAGTGGTGGGGGAAGGTATGTGGAGTGTGTGTGGTGGGAGCATGTGAGTGTAGTACATGACAGTGCTCAGGCAACTGGTAGGGAGGCATGGGGGAGCACATGCCACCCCCTGAGATTGGCCCCCGAAAGTGGGGCAGTTTTTTTGCTGCATTTTTTTGCTGTGTGGGCTGGTGGCATGGTGTGTGGGGGGGTGTGGGGGGGGGGGGGGGGGGGGCACAGAAGTATAAGAGTGCATATGGAACTTTTGGCCTGCCCCCGGGCCCACCCCCAAATTGCACCCCCTCAGACTCGAGGCACCCGTCACCCCTGTGACAATGACACATGGTGTGTGCCTGTGCCTTGGGGAACCATGCGTGTGTGTGCCTGTGTGTGTATTCAGGCAGGCAGTACATGGACACACGTGTGTGTGTATGTCCATGTGTGTATTAGGGGGAAAAAGACAGGTTTCTCTGTAGTTTGTGTGTGCTACAAATGAATGTGGTGTGTGAGTGTTAGGGAAGGTGTGGGGAGCATGCATGGTGGGCAGGTGTGAATGAAGGGTGTAATGGCAATAAGTGGCATATACCTGTGTGTTGGGGGCACAGTGTCTGGATGTGTGTGTGTGTATTCAGACAGTCAGTACACATACATGAGTGTATGTATGTCCACATGTACGTTGGAGGGAGACTATGTCTGTGCCTATGCATGTATGTGTGTGTTTATGCATATGTGGCTGCCTGTGTCTGCATATGTGTATGTGCTGGGGTCGGCAGTGTGCACGCATGTGTGTGTGTGTGTGTGTGTGTTCATGTGTTGGCGGGAGATGGTGCCTGTGTGTGTGTGTCCACCTGTGGGTGTGCGTCTGTGTGTGTGCTTGGGCAGGCAGTGCATGTCCTCATGTGCCCGTGTGTGTGTGTGTGTGTCCATGTGTGTGTTCCTAGCTGGCTGTGAAGGGTGTCAGGCTGTGACAGGCGGCTGCCACTTCACACACAGGCTGCCTTTGTCATAGTCTGGCTGTGACACAGCTGGCCGAGGTGGCCCCTGGGGGGACAGACAGGGTTAGAGAGTGGCCACAAGGGTGATACTGGGACAGAACCCCAAGCGCCGCAGAACCCCCATAGCCCCAGGGCGGCCCTGACAGCTGTGGGAGAGAACCACCTGCTGAGTGCCCCGCTCCCTGCAGCATAGCACCCCAGCCAAGCCCCTTACCCTGAACCCCACAGCACAGTGGTCTCCCATCCAAACCCATGGTGTGATGGGTTGGGGGTTGGCAGAGGCTATGACATGAAGGGAGGAACCTAGCTGTTCAAGCTCCAGGGGCTATGACTTTTCCTCTTGGCTCCTTCCCCTCTCCTGCCTGTGGCTGTGGCCCCCTCCCACCTCCTACAGATACCTGGTGCTGGAGCATGTGTCAGGAGGGGAGCTCTTCGACTACCTGGTGAAGAAGGGACGTCTTACCCCCAAGGAGGCACGCAAGTTCTTCCGACAGATTGTCTCTGCCCTGGACTTTTGCCACAGCTACTCCATATGGTGAGTGAGGGCCCGGGGCTTGGCCACGGAGACCCCCCCCAGACACAGAGATCCTAGCCATGGAGTCCCTGCCCCTTCCCCCATCCACATAAACCCCTCCCTTAGCCATGGAGACCCCAACCACAGAGATGCCATCTCCAGCCATAAAGACCCTGGCCACACAGACCCCGCCCCCAGCCACAGAGACCCTGACCACAGAGAAGCCACCCCTAGCCACAGAGACCCCATCTCAGCCAAACTGGGGGTGTTAATGGGGTCTCCCAACCCATTGGGGGGTGACAGAATTGAGGGTTTCACCTCTGGGGGAGTCTCAGAGTGGAGGGCATCCAACTTGGGGGTGTCAAGGCGGGTCTCCTAACCTATTGAAGTGTCAAGGTTGTGGGCTTCCGCACTTGGAGGGGGTCTCAGAACAGGGGGGAGTGCTTCCAAGCCCAGCAGAGGTCTCAGGGTGTGTAAGGTGCTTCCAAGTGCCCCCAACCATGGACACCCTGGCCACAAAGACCCCAACCCCAGCCACAGAGACTCTGGCCACAGAGGCCCCACCCCTAGCCATGGAGACTCTGACCACAGAGACCCTATCCCCATCCATGGAGACACTGGCCACAGAGACCTCATTCCTAGCCAGCCTGGGGGCCAATGGGGTCTTCCAACCCATTGGGGGATGTCAGGGTTGGGGGCTTCTGCTCCTGGGGAAGTCTTTGAGCCCCCAGGCATGGAGACCCCCTAGCCCATGCCCCCAGCTATGGAGAAACCCCATCCTTAGCATTGTCTACCAGGCCCCATGTTCCCCCAAAGTCCTTTTGCCCCCTCTACCAGCCACAGAGTCACCCACTTCCGCCCTTCCCCACCAGTCTGGCGCTATTCCCCAACCAGCCACACAGCTTTCCTGAGCAGCATGTAAGCTGGGACCCTCTTACAGCCCAGCACCTCCCCAACCCTCCCCACTCGACTCCAGCTCTGAGAGGGCTCCTGTAGTAGGCAGCAGCAGTAGGGCCTTTATCCCATCACTCAGTGTGTACAGAGTGAGTGCATTCACAGTCACCACCTGCTGCAGGGTCAGGGCCTGTTCTCCCCCACAAACTTGTGTGGGTCCATCCAGGGTCCCTGATCCCCACCCATTGGGGTCCCTCTGCCCTCCACTTCTTCCCCCCTCCCCCCTACCCCACAGCCACCGAGATCTGAAGCCAGAGAACCTGTTGCTGGACGAGAAGAACAACATCCGCATTGCTGACTTTGGCATGGCCTCCCTGCAGGTTGGCGACAACCTCCTGGAGACCAGCTGTGGGTGAGCCTGTGGGGCCAGGCTGTGTGAGGGTGCCAGGATCTGGGGGAAGGGTGGAGGGGCCTGAGAAGGGGACAGGGAGGTGGGGGAGGCACTGTCAATTTGTGTTTCCCCACTGTACCCCCTGCCCTGCATGGGCTGGGGACTGCGTGTCTGCTGGGATGGGATGTGGGGAGGGCTCGGGCTAAGGATCAGGGCCCTTGTGTGTGTGGCTGTGCTGCCCCTCAGGACTGAGCTTCTGTTTCACTCTGTCTCTCCCTCTGTCTGTCTGTTTTTCTCTCTCTTTCTCTTCCTGCCCCCCCACTCCCATTGCTGGCCCTAAGGTCTCCCCACTATGCATGTCCTGAGGTGATCAAGGTAAGTGACTCACCCCAGAAGGCCCCAGCGGGTCGGTATCTTCCTTTGTCCCCCCATCTAGCTTGGCATCCTCCCAACCCCCTGTTTTCCCCCAGATCCCTCCTAGCCTCCCCTGGATCAGACTCCCAGGTCTGGCTGGTCCATATCCACCCCCACCCCCCAGCCTCCCTGGGTCAGATGCACTGGCCTTTCTAGCCTGCTGTTTCCCCCAGATCAGACTCACAGGCATGTGCAGTCAGACACCCTCCTCTACCGTGCCTTGATTTGGACCCCCCCAGGTCCTTGTAGCCCAGTCCCCCTGCTCCCTGCCTTCATGGATCAGCCCCACAGGCCTGTCTACTCGGTACCCCCACTTCCCTGCTGTCTCAGATCAAGCCTGTGGGCCTGTTTCATCTGCCGCCCCATTGCCTGCCTGGTGCTAACCCCTCTCTGGTCTCTGGTGCAGGGGGAGAAGTATGACGGGCGCCGTGCTGACATGTGGAGCTGTGGGGTCATCCTCTTTGCCCTGCTGGTGGTGAGACATTAACCCCCACCCCAGAGACACCCCCCACACATACCTGCCCAGCCTCCTGCATACCCTATGGATACCCAGGGCAACAGATCCCCCCCTCCATGGATACCCCAGGGCAACAGATCCCCACCCTCTCTGAGCATGGCGGTGTACTCCTTACAAAAAGGTGCTGTGGGTGGTCGCCGCTCACCACCCTGCCACTGACACCGCTGGTGGCATCTGTGGGCCGTCCACGATCCCTGCTGGCCGCTGCTGATGCTGCCAGCAGTGGCTCTGGGTGGTTGCTGACCCCTGGTCATCACTCACCTGCACCCCCCGCTCCGCCCACGACAGTGCCAGTGGCGTCTGTGGGAGCTCTCCTGCTTATTGCCGCCATGCTCCTGCCACTGCCGTGCCCTCCCAGCTGCCGGGGGCACACATCGTTCATGCCTCCCTCCACACCCCTACAGACTGCCCCCCACATGATACCTGCCACAGACTGTCATACATGAGGATACACCCTGCAGACCTCCCCATCCAGCCCCATCGTCCCCCCACAACATATTGCAGGCTGCACCACAGACCATCCCCACTCAATCCCCTCTCACGCACTCGCATGCATCCCCCACAGACTGTCCTCCTCCCACAGGGCCCCCACCCAAGCCCTCTCACCCCCCTCACCACCAACTCCCCCACCCAACCTCTATAGATTATCCCACATACTATCACAGACTATCCCTCTGCAGATACCCTCATCTGATCCCTCCTCCACAACCTCCACCCCCCTGCCACGGACTGTGTCACAGGCCTCTCCATGTATGTGATCACCCCAAACCCCTGGGTATGGCCCCTTCACACACCCCAGATCCACCCCCCATCTGACTATGCGTGACCATTGCCACTGACTGTACCTCATCACAGCTGATCCCCTCACACCCCAGATGTCTCCCACACCCCCACGGCTACCTACACCCTTACAAACCATCACACTTGACCCCTTTCACCCTCCGCAACCCGACACACCAGACCCCTTCAGAGCCCATACAACCAACCTCCATCCCTCCCAGAGACCTCCTTGGACACTCACCCACCCCTAAACCCATGTCCCCACACTAGACTCCCACCCACAGACCCAATCCCCTCAGCCCCACATATCCAACAGGCCCAAACCCCACATCCCTCACAACTCCCCAGATCTCTGATATGTCTGTAGACCCTGGCAGACCTCTCCACACACTCTCACCAACCCCCAATGACACTGAGCTCTCCATGCACACCCTACTTACCTTCACACACTTTGTCACATCACCCTGCCCCCCTCTCAGAGCCCCCCAACCCCAGGCCCCACACATACTAGTCCCAGGTCATTCTTTTTGTCCTGATATTTCCCCTGGGTTGGGGCCCCTTGCAGGGGTCTCAGATTTGGAGGGTTCCCAAACTGAGTTGTGTCAGAGTTGGGGGCTACCACCACTCAAAGTGGGGGGCCCTCCACCTGAGGGGATTTGAGGGGTTGTCTTTCAACCTTTTTAGGGGAGTATCAGAGTTGTGGTCTTCTACCCCTGGGGGGGATCTCATAGAAGAGGGGGTTGCCCCTAAATCAATGGGGGTCCCAGGGTGCGCAGGGGGCTCCCAGGACAACCCGTGCTAATGGCACCCCTCCCATGCTGCCTGCAGGGGGCGCTGCCCTTTGACGATGACAACCTGCGCCAGCTGCTGGAGAAGGTCAAGCGAGGTATCTTCCATATGCCCCACTTCATCCCGCCTGACTGCCAGAACCTGCTGCGTGGCATGATCGAGGTGGAGCCTGAGAAACGCCTTAGCGTGAGTGTGGGGCCAGGGGTGGGGATGATTGGCTTCTCTGGCCCCAGCTGCAGGTGTTGGGGATGCTGGTGGGAGAAAAGAACTGGCTGACTGGGGTAGAGAGAAGATAGGGGGACCCTGGCTGGCTGGGTGTGACTCTGTCTTCTCTCTTGGCAGCTGGAGCAGATCCAGAAGCATCCCTGGTTCCTGTGAGTAGCCATCGCAGCCCCTCCCACCCCCTCTCCATACCCTGGGGCCACAGGGGTTGGGTGGGGGACAGCAGTTCTCCCCCAGTTAGCTCCATGGGCCCAGATACCCCAGTACCCTCTGCCTGCTCCAGCCCAGCCCAGTATCCCTGCCTCACTCGAGCACTCTCAGCCTTGCTCTCTCCCTCTGTGCCTGGTGCTGAGTTGATGCCCTTCAGCTGAACACTTCTGCCTGGGAACCTGCCAACATTCATACCCCAATCCCCACCCCCTGTAGGACCCCCACCCTCAGCCTTCCTCCACAGGGGAGGGAGGGAGAGCTCCACCTAGGTGACTGGCAGCAGCAGCAGTAGTAGGGTCATTACCCAGGAGGCAAGGCTGATACCAGGTCTGCTACAGGGGGGGCAAGAAGGAGCCAGAGCCGGAGCAGCCAGTGCCACGGAAGGTGGCCATCGGACGCATCCACTCGGCCAGTGAGCTGGACCCAGATGTTCTGGAGAGCATGCACTCACTGGGCTGCTTCCGGGACCGTGTCCGCCTCCAGCAGGAGCTGCAGATCGAGGGGTACGAGGGGTGGCAGGGGAAGCCCAGGCAGGGCAGGGAGATGGGACAAGGATGGGCATGGGGAGATACGCAGGGAGTGGGGACATGTTTTGGGGAGGGAAGATGGGGAGAGGGAAGGGGCAAGGGCAGAGGGCAGGAGGGAGAGTTTAGTGGGGACTGAAGGAAGGACTAGGTAGGGACAAGGAGCAGAGATAGAAGGGAGAGGAGATTGGGGGATGGAAAGGAGTGTCATGGGATATAGGAGTGGGGGAGGGGGAAGTGCTAACAGCCCCACCCCATTGCCCCCAGCCCACTGCCTCCAGCCCTGACTTGTCCTGGGCCCCACAGGGAGAATCAGGAGAAGATGATCTACTACCTACTGCTGGATCGCAAGGAGCGCTACCCAAGCTGTGAGGACGAGGACTTGCCCCCCCGTAATGACATTGGTGAGCCCCGGGGACACCTTGCTCCACCCCAGACAGCCAGGTCCCAGGGATGGGAGGGATTCTGCAGCACCAGCCCTCACCCCAGAGGTGGCTGCATCTCAACACCAGTGGGGCAGTGGGGGTATACATAACACACCATCTAATGTGTTCCCACTCCAGAATTAGCTGCATCTATGTGGGGTGAGGGATCCCCATATAAACAGCCCCCAGTGCACTGTGCCCCAGAGCAGCTGTATCTCAGCACTGAGAGAGGCTCCATCACTCAACATGCCCCACCCAAGAACCAGCTGCATCTCAGCACTAGAGAGATTCCATGTATAACATCACTCAGCACACCCTATCCCAGAGGCAGCTGCATCTCAGCACTGAGAGAGTCTATAACCTATCCCTCAATACACCCGACCCCAGAGCCAGCCGCATCTCAACACTGGGAGAGGCTGCACTTATAACCCATCTGTCAACACGCTCCACCCCAGAGGTGGCTGCATCTCAGCACTGGTGGAGAGGTCCCTATTGTCACCAGCCCCCAATGTGCCCCACCCAGAGGCACATTTGCCCTGATGCCCCCATGCCACCCTTGCAGACCCTCCACGGAAGCGGGTTGACTCCCCGATGCTGACCCGCCATGGGAAGCGGCGGCCAGAGCGCAAGTCCATGGAGGTCCTGAGTGTCACGGATGGGGGCTCCCCTGTGCCAGCCCGGCGGGCCATTGAGATGGCCCAGCACAGTCAGAGGTGAGTGGATGCAGCATTGGGGGTGGGACGTCACCAGCCCAGCTTGGTCCAGGGGTTAGAACCTGCAGGAAGTGCCTTGTTTCTCCTGGCACCATGAGCTGCTGTGTCTGACCATCAGCTAGGTGCTGGCATCAGGGGGTGCTGTCCTCCCTACTTCCCCCCAGGTTGGCATGCAGAGGAACCATGCTTTTTCCACACACCCCAACTTCTCTCCTCCCTTCCCCCCAGCTATGCCCATCTCTACAGCCTGGGTCTAGAGGCTGTTCCCCCTCCCAGCCTTCCAGTCTGCTGGAACCACCATGTGTCTTAGCCCCCACTTTGCTTGGCAGTGGGGTTCTCCAAAGGGTTTGGGTGGGGGGCTCCCTGTGTCCACAGGAGGTCTGTGCTGCCCCCTCTGCTGGCCCTGTGTGTCCTAGACCCCAGCCTGCCCCTGGCTGAGGGGATTCCCCGAGCTGGGCCTGACCCATCTCTGTGCCCCCAGGTCTCGCTCTGTCAGCGGTGCCTCCACTGGCCTCTCCTCCAGCCCACTCAGCAGCCCCAGGGTGAGTGCCTCC